CAGGGTACAGACAAAGTAAGTTCTTCAATAAAACTTATGTAAGAGATAACAGGCGAAGGGTTCATGAAAACCGCTTTCTCCTCCGAAATTCGTTAAGCTACTTCCATCTCAACAGTATTCGCATCCAATGACAATGAAATTTTCAATCTAAACATAGGTGAGCCTTTCACTTCCGTTGGCGAAGCCGAAACTTGAGAGTTCTTTACTTCTACCAATGTCATTATAATATTAAAAAAAAAACATCCACCTAGCTGAGCTGCAGATTCCAATAAACAAATCACAATGAATCAACAACTTCTACTGGCCAGTACAAACAATTATACAAAGTTTCATACAAATCGGAGAAGGACGATCCAAATTTCATTTTTTTTTTCGCTATTTTGCCTGGAGCTGCTCCTGTGAGTATCTTAGACATGCCATTAAATCTTACTGGGAGTCCTTAACCTTATATACGCTCTCAACATATCCTAGAGATACATTCAAACTTGCCACGGAGTTTTCTGGATTTGGTAAAGAGGACCTCTAAACTCTCTAAGGGAAACTTCTCGACTTGCCTTGTAAGTCCATTGATGTTTCTCAGATGCTTTTAGATTTGCCCTGGAGGCCCTCTGGGCCTGCTCTGAAGATTCAATAGACACGTCCTAGATGTTTTCTGGACTTATTATACATATCATTTGAACATGCTATGAACATGTGTAGAGCTACTCTGGATGGCTCTGTTGCTCTGGATATGAACATGTGTAGAACTTGTCTGGATTTGCATACCCATTAATGCACAGCGATCTATTTATAGATTTGCATTTTTTTTATCATGTCTTAACAGAAATTGGGAACGTTAATTATGTGAGAGAAGGATTAGTAAATTCCATTTAATTCCACTACCTTATTTGCTCATCCTTGACAGATACGCGTATTTTGTCTACAATGTGCAGACTTCTTCAGTGTCTTGTACTAATACTCGAGTGAAGTATTAGTACAAAACACTGATGAAGTCTGCACATTGTAGACAAAATACGCGTATCTGTCAAGGATAAGCAAATAAGGTAGTGGAATTAAATGGAAATTACTAATCCTTCTCTCTCTCATTATACAGGTATTCCACTAAGACGCCTACATTCATCAGGTAAATTATGTGTTCAATGTCACTAACAAGATCCTTGGAATATCCTTAACATCTTGTTTTCAAATAATGTGAGAATAACCCGTGGGTCACTCCTGGCAAAATCGCACATTGTTCGGAGGTCAAAAACGACTTGCACGTTAATGGGTTAAGACTATTAAGAGTATTGTCGAATTTTTATTTTTTGTATATTCTTGTATGATGATGATTGTGATGATGATGCCATCGAGAAAACTGAATTTAAATTTGCAATTTCTTGAAATGCCAAATGAACAAAACAACGTTGCTGGAACTTCATGAAATAAAAATACGTTCAGTGATTTTTTTTAGATATATTTACGGCCATTCAAACTCACTCAAATTTGAATTCTGTTTCCTAAAAATTTTTTCCTGAATACCAGTAAATGTCACTAATATTCGAGAATAAATCTGCTCGAATTTGAGCAAAATTTAGGAAGATTTTACTCAGCCTGAGAAAACCACGATTTTTAGGAATTTGAGTAAACTGAACTGAAATGTGATAAGCTAGCAATCCACTAGCACAGTAATTTGAAGGCAAAAAAAATGTTCCAGTCAAGATTTTTTAGCTAAAATAAAAAAGAAAGAAAATCCTTGATCTAATCTAATCTAATCTCACACTAACGCAGCCAATACTTTGAAAGCATCCTAGAAAATGACGGCTTCACGAATCCGTCATTTTTCTTGTCAACGGCCAGGCCAACTGCGCAGCATGTGCCGCAGAGAGGATTTCAAGGAGTCAAGTGATGTCAGAAATGTAAAAAAGAAAGAAAATCCTTGAAGCCTTAAAGAGAACTACCGTTTGAAGTTTTTTCTGCCACTTAGAGAATCTATTAAAATGAACATTCCAAGCATCGCACCAAGATTTATATGTAATTACTCGATGACCCAATTTCTAGCAATACATTCACTATCTCTACTATCAAGCAGTATCCGTATCGTCCATGTCCCTACCATGTAACAAAATAAAAGAAACATTCCATTTGCTACTTTCCACTTTGAGCTTGAAGGAGAATTTCTTTTCCCCGAGAATAGCTGCTCCTAAAGCATTCACAATTTTAACGAAAGAAAAAAACGTCGTTCACAATGACAAAGTCGCTCGGTGGTTGGTTTCCTATTTCCAATTAAAAACTTCACAAAGTTCATTACAATTCCAGCCACAGTGGTCAAAGGGAAATAGACCGTAAAGCATCACTTTCATTATTTTGCACTTAAATTCCACAGATTCGTACTCGTCGTGACATTATGGGTACAAACGTTTGGACTACATTTTCCCCATCTGTGGAAAATTTATCACGTTCAGAACGTTCCATACACATACACACACACATTAATCATAGTCATGGTTTTGCGTATGGAAAATGATTGGTGACGAACTTTGCCCTATAGGCTACGTGCCGGCATCAATCCAAGTTGAATAAGTCCCGCCTCCATGCGAGTGAATGTGCAGCTACATATAGAATATATCAAATTTGAAACAAGAGCGTAAGATTTACAAACAAAAAAGTTTGTTACTAAATTACTTCAACAGGTGAAACTATGACAAACGAATACCAATCAAATTAGAAACTTTCCAGCTGACTCGTTGCCAATTTGCCTTTTACGTCATGGTACCTAACATTTTGAGACTTCCAGCATAAATTTCTTTTAGCATACAGTTATCACCCACGCTACGGTTGCGTCGAGTGCCAAAAACTTTTTTTTCTTTGTTGTCTGAATTCCGTCTACCAACAGGATGCAGGCTGAATTTCCCAAATGGCGAGAGAAGAAAGGTCCACAAAAACACGCTGCAAACTTTAACGTAGTTGTGACATAACGCCCATGTCAATCCATGAAGCCGTATATCAATGGTTGGCTCAGTGGTTTTGAGGAGTGAACTTATAGTCAGATAGGCAGATAGCTTCGAATGAATGGAACCTTCACATGATAAAAAAAAATACTAGACTTCGATGGCAGATTCAGAAGAGTTGTGAAGCACTTTTGATGCAGATTCTTGACTTATCCTCGGAGTCCTATAAACATGGGTTCGAAGTCATGTAGAGTTTACCACTATAAATTGAAAAAATATTAAAAATTTAACATTGATACAACCTAACTACGTCAATGGCAACGAAAAGGGGGTAACAAGTACAGCATTAAGCCAAAATTTGTATCTACCAACTTCCTTGCAAGACACTATAAAATACATCTGCTGCCAAGGTGGGATGTCTGCATTCCGGGTTTATCTTTTTGGCTGCGAATGTATGTGGAAAAAACACACACGTTGTTAATTCTATATCACGGTTGATTGTCACCACCACGTGTTGCGTAGATCCCTCTGTCATTGCTCTTTGATGTTGTTAATAAACAGCTCACGCTCCGCTGGAGTAAGAAAACATCCTGCATACGGTGGTGAAACCGAACCCAAAGTCATATAAAGAAGACACCAACGAGGAAAACTTGCACTTGAACGACTTTATCTCATCCTTGAGCTTGTCCTTGACAGCATCTTTCCTACGTACCTATTTTCTTCGATTGTTGAATTGAAGACATGGTGCAGCTCACCCACTCGGATTGACTTCATCAAGGAAGCGGAGCAAACGGAAAAAGTGTTATGCTGGTTTTCTTTTTCGCTGAATTTTACATTTTATGTTTCTACTGTGTAGAGATCCCAAACCCCCCATTCAGCTCGATTGGCTCGTATTTGTTACATCACAGCAACTCGTCCCTGTTATCGACTGCTTTCTATTACTTTGAGAAAGCGAGAGTCCATTGGCTGATGTCCATTCCAGCTGCTTGAATGTAATCCAATCAAGTCAGTGCATCATTTTTTCCAGAGGTGGTACTGGTCTGTATCGGATAAATAATGCCGCATCATCATCGCTGCTCATCACTTTCAATCTAGCTCAATTTGATTTAATGGATCTGCGTTACAGCTACTGGAAAGAGGCTCTGCAAACGTTATCAAGCCACACCACCGACCGTCATCGTGAGAAACGACCCAAGCGCGCTTGTTGTTTACACGTTGAACCGTCCGCCGGTCGACGGTTGCTGCGTTGTTGTGATGAGGACGACGACGACGACAACGTGACGCAGGGAATAATGATTATGTGCCTCCATACTTAAGTTCGCTGAGGTTTGCCATCGTTTGTTTTGGCTGGTAAACTCTGTGGGATTTGAAAACATTAATTAACAAAACCCGCTAATCGGAGGTGTTTCCGATAAATTCGCCCGAGGTTGCTTAATGTAGCTTTAATCAAGGAACACTCAATGGAGGATGGATTTCAGTAGGGCAGAACCGTTGCTACTTGGATTTGGTTCGAGATGTTTCTGATGCTATAAAGTAGTGCAAACCGGTTGACGATTAAAGGTATAATTTGGAGTGATTACGTTATTTACAACGATATGAGAACGGAAGCTACAGATTGCATGGATATTTTTATCGACTAATTTGATTAAAAAAACATTTTATGTTTCTACAAATTGCCGTCGCATTTCTCTTGGTGGGGTTTTGTATACTCGTATACAACGAAAGACGAAATTGATAAGCTAACAAGATTTGACTGTTGTTTGTATACGAATTAAAATCTAAAACCCAATCATATCAACAAATATTGCATTGTTATTCTAGAAATTCCCTTGAAGTTACTACAATCCAAGTTCGGGGAAGCACATTCATAACAAATAAAATTGCTTTAGTTTACAAACTGACCTTATCGCCGGTGCCTTTAAATCTAGATTGAGCTGGAATTAGGGCGTAAAAACTTTTGTAAACAACGCTCGCCCACGCAAATCAACATCACCATCGGGTAGGGGAATTCTTCCCCTACTCGATGGCTATGTTGATTTGCGTGAGCATACCTTGAATTTCCAGAAATCATCGAGAGAAATCATTGTTTACGAAAGCTATTACGCCCCAATTCCATCTCTATCAAGAAATATTTAATCACGGCTACATATTTAAAGAATACTGCTAACTTGAGTAAACAGCTCGTATCAGTAGTGCCATCATGACTAACAGTCTTTTCACGTTTTTTATTCCTTTCGTGGTGTTTTTCGGAGGTAGGAATTAGGATTATCGACATTGAATTAATTCTATCAATTTTTTTTTTCCATCATTCATATTCAGGATCAGCTGCTCTTCCGCAAGATATGCACGCTAAATTCGATTTTGAATCTCAAAACCCGCTGTTACAAACATGTTTGAAAAACTCAGGATCATCGACTGCCTATAAACGAATCACGATGGCCCTCGATGAGGCTGGTGCTTGCTTTAGTGAAAATATGGCTTCGATAAATCACTCAACTGATGCAATTGCTCTTCAACAAAGTGGTGGATGTCCTCTGCGGGATCAGGATCGCGCCTGTCTGAATCCAATTATTAATCCTGTTCTTTCCTGTTTGACGGGATCACGTAAACAAAATCGTATATTTTTGGAGAAGCTTGTTGACGAAATCATTAAAATTCAATGTACCATCAGCCAGATCAAAGATTCCAGTGAAACGGGTAAACAAACACATTAGCATTGGGAATTTCAGTAATACTAGCTATTATTTCTATTTCAGAAGACATGCCATCAAGTTATAGAAAAATGTGCGTTCAAAACAAAGTATCATCGATCATAGACTGTGATGCGCCCTTCTTCGGGAAAGGAATTATTCTATCTGATTACGATGCTCGTGAGTGCGCGTGAGTACTAATTAATTACAACTGTTTTTTTTTTCTGTTGAAATCATCACTGAATTACTCACCTCGTAGACAACTGTCCAGGAGTAAAACATGCATTAGGGATATCTTGTTTACATGTCACGCCGGTAACAGCCTTCTTGCTATGGTCGATATGCTTTATAATGTTGCTTACGATGTAAACAACTGTAATGAGGTGGATAAAATAATTCATTTGAACCAACACAAATGAAACCACGTATTTTTTTCATTCCAGGATATTGGCTCCAAAAGCATCGAAAATGAGATTTGATTGCACAACCTCTGAGAGTCGGAAAATTCAACACCTTCTAGCAAAAACATGAAATGAATAAAAATTATGCCAATTAAGTAGATTGAAATTTTTTCACCACGCACAGAATCCGAACTCGCAAATGCAGCTGGCACGAGGTGGTTAGCTTTCGCCATTTAGGTAGACGGTATTCGAAAAGCTCCAAGCACACGCCAGAAACTTACCATTGCAATTGCTTCCGCATCAACCATTACATCACTTAATATAATTAACCTACAAACCACATTTCCTGGTAGCTGCTCCAGATTCTTAATTTAAAAAAAAAATAGCTTCCCATGTTGTCCTGGGGTGGATGACCATCACATGGAAGCTGTGTGGCAGTTCGCTACAACCATCTGCTGATCTCTGAAGGTTGCACGGGTGATGATGATGATGATGATGATGATGATGATGATGACAGATATACACCCTATTTACTGGCTTGGAAGGCGCATCCTTTCATCTATAACAAACAAACAACCACGCGGGTGTACTATGGGGAATCTCCATACAAGGAGGTGGCCAAAAATCTTTTCTTGCTTATTCATTATTGGACAAGATTTGTACTAGCAGGTGTTTACATTTATCATTAAACTTTGAACATGATCATGAGCATGAGTATGATTGACCGCCCGCGGTTGGTACTCCGTGATTCCACAGAGAACCAACAGATGGGACTAGGTATCAACCCCATTATGTCAATCATTAAACATCATTTTGAGATCCTAATGTCTTCTAGGTTTTAAGGAGTTAAGATCTGGATGTTCTAAAGACTCAATAATGTGGATTGATACGCATGTTACCGACATATTCAACACGGGAGTGGGACATTTCAACGAATGACGTTTTGCTGAAGGACGTTTCACCGAAGGTCATTTCACCAAATGAGTAATTTCGCCAAAGAGCAAGCCATTTTCTACGGTTTTGAATTTTTCTCAAAGCTCAGTAAATTTTTAAAACAGTCTTGAAAAAAAAATGGAGGAGGTGCGATTTTTTTTTCAACCTGGCAAGCTATTCAAATGTAATGCTTATTTCTTTTTTATATAAGCAGTTCTTTTGGGTTGTACTCATCAGAAATTTTCAAATAATATATATTTTTAATTTATAGCAATACTTCCTTCTTTTGAACATGAGCAGTTCTTTCGAGTTGTACTGATTTCAGAAATTGATAAATAATCAAAAAAAATATTTATATGAATGCTCCCTTCTTTTAAACTGACCAGTTCTTTCGATATGTACTGATTTCAGAAAATTTTAAACAATCAATGTATTACATTTTTATAACTGTATCAATTGTGCAATCAATGTATTACATTTTAGAAAAGCGAAATGACACATTCGGCGAAATGTCCTTCGGTGAAATGTTCTTCGGCAAAATGTTGTTCGGTGAAAGTCCTTCGGTGAAACGTCCTTCGGTTAAATGACGAAGCCCCATTCTACACATCATCCTAGCGTTGTTCAGCTGCATGTTTAGATGCGCATCGGTGATAGATCATTAACCGAATGCCCTTAGGCCGAATGCCATTAGGCCGAATGCCATTAGGCCGAATGCCATTAGGCCGAATGAGTCACTAGGCCGAATTTTTTTTATAGTTGTTCACTTTTTGTCGTACGACATCTGCCTTGTTCCAACTTGAGGACATACTTGATGGAGTCCAATTATGGCCAACATGACAGACAGACTTGCTCTATCATTTCAAATTTTCAAGAGAACAAATCTCGGAATCTATATAAACTTCACACTTTGCAAATGTGCACAGCAAGCATACATTGGGATCCATTTTCATATGTTTATTGTTGGAACTGATATGTATGCCCTTAATTTTTTAGAGTGATGAACAGATTCATCAAATGTGGTCTTAACAGACTACCTTTAGAAATAATCTGCAACAAATAAAGAAAATTAAATTATGGTGATGCATTGTTTATCTTTTAAAAACCGGTTATATTTCAAATAAGAAATAAATCAGCTTCGAATAATCTTATGCTAGAAATGCCATCTGATTAAACATTTTATAACCGAAAGAACTGCTCATGTTTTGAAGAAGAAAAAATCCGCTATGAAAAATGTAAGGCTAAAAATTCCTCATTTGATAATGTCTCCATTGCGAGATCTCTCTAATAATTTCAAAATATAGTTTTTTTTAACCATTTTCCACACCTATGACCTTCACATTTTTCTAATGTTTACAATTTTGGATTCCAAATTAGTTATATTTAAATTAGGAAAAAGTGTCATTGCCTTAGAATAAAATTGATAAAATTGCTCAAAGACGAAAAATATTTCCAGAGATTTAATATTTAAAGATGCGATTTTTAATATTTTTCAAAAATCCTGGGTCTTTGAAATTTATTTAAGTTTGAGATTGTAAAAGGCGTTTCATGATTTTATGTACGTTTTCCTTTCACACACAGACATAGTGGAATATTATTGAAGTGTTATAAATGTATCCAATTACTACTATAAGTTTCATCTTTTGCTTTTCAAAATTCGGTTTAATAACCCATTCGACCTAATGGCCTTACATCTTCTTATCATAGAATGGAATCAAAAATAGATGTATAGTCAATATAATCTTGAACAAAGTACTGAAAATGTTTTAGAGAATCTCCTGAAAACATGCACATCACGGATTAGTATCAAGAAGATTTTAAATACTGTCCAAACTATTCTGGAGTTAAGATCTTGAAGTTCTACAGACAGAATGAAAGTCTTGAACAATGTACTGAACATATGTATGAGTCCGTGAAGCTCAGGAGAGCCTATTGACAACATGCAGGCTCAATGTTTTGAAAATCTTTATGAGTCCACGGAGCTCAAGGGAGCCTCTTGACAATGTGCACATCATGGATTGTATCAATAATATTGTTAATACTCTCCCAATTATTTTGGAGCTAAGATCTTTAAGTTATTGAGACTCACTAAACAATGTACACTGAAGTCTTTTTTTACACGCTTTTTTTTTAACGCGGTTTTTTTACACGGTTTTTTTACACGGTTTTCCCCGATTTACACGGTACGTTTTTAACGATTTCTCGACAACGATACAACCTATCGACTTGCTTCCAATCACATTATCCGTTTCAAGCTATAAGTAATCGAATGACATACTTAAAAAAAAATCACAATTTTTGGTGTAAATACAGAAATTTTTAAAATATGTCTATATGGACCATACCATGCTTTAATTACAAATGGCATCAAAATCCGATTTTTTAAAAACATTTAAGCATGCGAAAAATCAAAATCTCGTAGGTTTTTTTCAAACGGTTTTTTTTACACGTTACGTATCCCCCGTGTAAAAAAAAAACCTGAGTGTACTGAAAATATGTATGACTCCGTGATTCTCAATAGAATCTCTAGACAACATGTACAACATTCAATGGTATCATTAAGATATGTAATGCTTTCCAAACCATTCTGGAGTTGAGATATTCAAGTTTTACAGGCTCAATAAAGCCTAGAACAATGATCTGAAAATATGTATGAGTCCGCGAAGCTCAAGAGAGCTTCTTGACTACATGCACGTCATGAATTGGTAGCGATAAGATTTTTAATACTCTCCAAACTATGTTGGAGCTAGGATCTTGAAGTTCTACAGACTCAATGAACTCTTGAATAATATCTTGAAAGTATTCATGATTCGGAACATTTCAAGTATAAATACTCTCAGCATTGAATAGAAGGGGACGATATTTTCGAGAAGAAAAAAATTATGGAGAAATCAATCATTACCAAATTTGATTACAAACCTTTCTAGGCATCCAAAGGATAATCGTAAGGGTTGTCCTGAATGTAAATTTTGATAAATTGGGCCTGGGTTCAATCCCAGTCGGCGCCGTCGGGATTTTTTGAGGCATAAAATCTCTTATAACGCCTTCCTTCGGAAGCGAAGTAAAACCGTTGGTCCTCGGTCCATGAGTTAATGGGTCCAGCTGTGGCAGCTGCCTCCATGGCGTTGGTAACATTGGTACTCAGTACGGAAAACAGGATCGACGGAGAACAAACAAAGGGAACAAAATTAGGCTACAAAAAAGGTTGTTTTTTATTTGTCAATATTTTATATTTTATTATAATCGAGTATAGCCACTCTATGCGATATTTTTAAGCTTATAAAATAATTTTTAGGAACATTTTCAAACGTAGGAAAAGAGCAATTTCGGTTAGGGGAAAGTGAGGTTGAATTTATCATTAATTTTTACAAAAATCGGAAACTGTCTGACTCTTATACCTGTAGCTCGGTAAATATATAATTTAGAGAACTGATGTTGTGGGGTTTTCTCCGTTGAGTAGTCTACTACCGACGGACGAACACGGATCACGAATCGGAGAAAATCATTTTTCAATTATTGGACACTTGAATTCCCATAGTGGAGTATGGTAGATGGGTACATGTAATATCAAAAGGGAAACTGGAGTAATCTGAGCGTGGCCTATGACTTACTGACTCAAAGAGGAAATTGAGAGCACAGCGACAGAAAGTGGGTGAGTGTTTAAATTGTGTGGGTGTGATTGTCTGGTTGAGGCGTTTATTACTGAAACCGCTCTTTTCTGCAGTAACTATGTTATGGTTATCCTCTGAGGCTACGTAAAGTGGTAGATGAGAATCAAATGACCGCTGGGGTACTTGAAACATCTTCAATAGTGTCCTTTTTTTTGTACCAATAATCTACTAAATTTATCACCTAACACGACAGGATTGCCCTGGAAAATTCCATGTTCACTTTGGGACTAAAAACTCTAGAAAACAAAGAGCTTTGGAGTACTAGAAACAAGCAGTTATGGAAAATACTTACACAAACAGAAGGCCATTAATAAAATGGTGATGAAGAAGGAAGTAACTATTGAACCGTAGACATTTAGGATTTCTCTGGCAAATTTTCCAGAATTCAAGGGATAGTGGAGTGGATGGAGCAAATGTGGAAGCAACTATTGAAAAATGAAAAACTTACGTAAACCTCTCTAAGAAGATTGAAGCCTACACAGCAAAAAAATAATTTTAAAGCAACATAATTTTAATTCATGCACTGTATTAATGATAAATTTGTCCTTTTTAACAAGTAAAATATTTTTTTTGCTGTGTATGCTATAAAATTCTATCAGGGCATTTACATTTGAGTGGAAGATGGCGTGACTGTACTTGCCCCAAAACGGTTGTATATGGAAAGATGAAAGTTGCCTGTCTTCTAAATATGTTGTTTTTTACAATCTTTCTACGAATTAAGGTATGTGTTCACAATATCGCACATTTACAATGTTTCGAATCCATGTGTTAAATTGACTAGAATAATAATGTTAAAAAAGGTTTTTGTGAATGCTATGTGATGAATTGTGTAAAATTCATTTATTCTAAGTGACAATGTTGTTCAAAAACCGTAACTCGATTCTCATCTTTCGATATGCTTATACCAACGAGTAATCAAATAGACATTACCATATTCCATCTACATTTTAATAACAATAACTATGCAGATGTGTACATCAAACCGTAATATGTCTTCACAACATCACATAAGTTTTCATTCGTTTGACACCATCGTCTACCACAGCACAGCACTAAGTTGAGTCTTTATGGATGTGATGTCACTAGCAGACCGTTCCTAGCTTCTATAAAACTACACTTTTTATCGTAAATTTATATGGGTTTAGTCTGCAGCTGAAAACCTCACCCCAGACAAGTTCCCTTCCAAAATGCGCCATATTTCGCCAAAGTTTATAGTAGGTTTTTCAGTTGCATCCAAGCAGTACCGTTCCGCTACCTAATGTACCATACGTGCTGCATTTCCACGAACGATGCAAAGCCATTGGGCATCCATCAGACCCGTTGTTCATCTGACATGGAGGAAATCACATGCATTGAATTATTCGTAAGAACGAGCTTTGCCAGCATGGGTACTAGTTGGTAC